ATTCAGGTGGTTAATGTTTCATTTCCTCAGTTCACATTACCCATGTACATATTGCAGTGACAAGACAGTTAACTTTAAACCAGATGTAACAATTCTTTGTAATTAGGGAGTTTACCTTAAGATTCATCTAACTATCTCTTCTAGTGCACAGAAAGGGGGTGTTCAAGGCTAGGGATGAGGACAGATGTCCCATTTCATGGTCTATGCTTCCAGTGTCTGTTAATTGTGAACTGAAAAAAGCAGATTACTGTTAGAGGTAGCAGAAGTCATTTTACATTTTCCTAACATTTTGTAGATTTTTAATTTATTTACAAAAGTTCTCTCTGTACCATTAGAAGCTGAGTAAAAAACCAAAGGGTTGAATAAAGATTCACAAAGGGGCTCCTGTCTAGTGAAAGAAAAACCAAGCACCAAAGCTCATATTATACCTGGAACTTAGTAGAGGGCCAATAAATATTTATTGATTAAAAGTTGGATCCAAAAAAATAGGAACCAGGAAAATGAAACCAAGAGAGAATATGAAGCAAAGAAGGGGAAGCTACTTATCATTTTATTAATATTTTCAAGTTTCCACTATTTTGCACAAATCAGAGAAGCACACAAATTCTTTTATTCACTTTCCAATATTCAAGGATATCAAAACCATGAGAACTAAAGAATTGAATTTATAAGAGATGAACTTGTTTTGTCCTTAAATGATCATTGGCTAAAGCTTTTTCTGCTGAATTAAAGCCATTTCATTAAGGACTTTGTATGCAAACCTATATCCTCAGTAGATTAAAGATGCAATTTAGACACACATTTCAGGAGCTGAATGCACAAATCGTTATTTTAGTGCATATTGTCCATTAATCTGCTGTTCAATTGGGAACCCATTTGGAATGTGGCTGCTTGCTAATTAGCAGGATTCTAGTGCTGAGATGCTTCCTGATTAAATGTACTTTAGAATCAATAAAACATCAGGAGGGATTATAGTGATGTGGGATTAGCCTCATCTAACCAAATAGAATGAGTTGCATTACCTTCTTAAACTGTCAGGTTGCAGGAGCTGACAAGAGGAGCAATTTTGTAAGCCTTATAACACAGTTTTTTTTTCACATAGAGATTTTTGTTTTCTGCCATGTGCCTATCAATTAGCAAAGACATTAATGAATGACTGCCAGGGTAAGGTGATTTTGAGAAAGCCTTGATTATGATTTCAAATCTCTCCTAAGAATCACCCTAATGTAAAATGAGCTCAGGTTGTGTTTGATGGAAATTATTATCCCTGTTTTTGGCTGGGAACATGTAAGTCAGAATTTACATTTAATGTTTCTGTGTGACTGTAATATGTGGAAATTAAGGAGGGCAATGCTAGAACAGGAGGCAAACCAATATTCTAAAATTGTATTGGCAAATTAAACACTCTAAACCAGTTTAAAACACAACAGACTGGCCAGATTGTGTTGGGGAGGGGAATGAATAATGAAGCTAGCTTGAAAGCCCCATGAATAGAGGGGAGCAATTGACACAGCCAGGAGCAGGCCTTATCGTGCACATCTGGGAGTGCAATTAAGCTGAAAAGAACTGGTTTGCTAATCCCAGGAACAAGCAGAGGATTTCTGGAGATAAAGGAAGCATGAGGTGTCTAATTCATCAATTACTTTTTAAAGGGAATAGAAAATGTGTTAGGCAAAGAGCTATTAAAAATGTGGAATGGTCTGCCTGTGGTTGCACCTTAGAAATCCAGACTTGGCCTTCCCCTTCCAAATAATAATAATAATGACAACAATAATAATGACAAGGATGATAATGCTAATAAAGCTACCAACATTTATACAGTGTTTACTATATTCCAAGCAATTTTCTATATAACTATAATTGCTTTATAAACACTAACCTTTTAATTTCAATTTTTAAGTGAGGAAACAGGTAAAAAAGGCTAAAATCTCTATGAAACTGATAAGTGAGCTCAATGATAAGGTCAAATCAAATGCAAGTTCTTTGGCTTCAGGAACTTAGCTCTTAGTCACTAAAGTGTAGACAAATAAAGACACTCCTAGGATGTCACATCCTATAGGAAAAGTTGAATGAGGTGTAAACAAAACAAACTGGCATATATTTGACAATCATTTCTATTCAAAGAGAACAAAATCATACGGCATTAGAACTCTGAGGAAAATGAGGACAAAGCTCTCATAACGTGCTCTTTATTTTTTTCTGGACTTTTTCTGCTGGCCAAAACAGAGATTAAAAATTCTATTTGCAGATGTGTCTTAAGTTACTTTTCTTGTTGCTGAAACAAAATATCCAACGCCCAAAGTTAAAGAAGGAAAGCTTTATTTAGCTCAGTTTGTAGAGGTTACATTTCATATTTGGCTGTCTCTAAGGCAGGGTGGCACAGCAGAGGAATATTGCAGAGAAAAACAGTTCATTGTATGGAGCAGGGAAGGGGACATTATCCAAACCTCTACCATGGTTCCTGGCCTGTGAGACACTACAGCACAAGGAGAATTCAAGAACAGACAGGAGATTTAGAGTGGAGAAGCTAAGTCTTAGGTCCTGGTCAGTGATGCTAATGGCAGCAAAGACAAAGGCCCCTAAGCAATCCAGTATTTATCGAATACAATCATGAGAAGAAATAGGGAGCTAGGGAGCTTTGAAGTCCTCTAGTGAGGACACCCGGCATGATCGTGCCAGGCAAGGCTGTCATGGAGTAGTCGCTGCTTACTTGCCAAGATAGAAGAAACCAGTACTGGGACCAGGTGCAATTAGCAAGCAACCCACAAGGTCAGTGAGAAGCGATAATTCAGTGGAAAGGATTTTAATTGGGGTCACAGTGATCTCAGCTGTACATAATTCAGCAGGACCCTGCCACTTCACAGACCAGGACTTAGGTCTTGGTGACAGCCACTTAGCAAAGGAGCAATACTAGTCCAACTCTGCCAGCTGACATGCCCATTTGAGTCATGCAGGGCTTCAGTCCGACTCCTGATATAAAACAGTATAGTCGTATTAGGGAAGGTAAGAAGCATGTGCCACTCATAGCCCGCTAGTACTGGGAAGGAATGTGTCCTACAGTCTACGGCAGGCAGAAGTCAGGAAGGTAGCAAAGCCGTGAAGCAGCAAGGGGTCACATCAGATCTATTTCTGTGCTTTATATTATATCCAGGGTACGTTCTCTTCGGTTATGTAGCACTCACAGCCAGGGTGGGCTGGCCCATTATCTATACTCAGAACTGTACCAAACCAATCAGTAGACTAATGTAGTAGTCACACTTCCTTAATCCCAACATCACACACTCTAGATCCAGCCATCTCTGAAAATCCCCACCTACAACCATAGGAGGTTTTGGGGGAACAACTAGATACAAAAGCCACAACAAGCTGTTAGCACCAGAAATTGTCTTTTGCTATCAAAAGCAAAAAGAAATATTTTAAAATCATATAAAATAACTCACAGAATTTTGTAAAAACAGAACTTCATGAAGGACCACAACCAAAAGTTAAATGGCAGATTGGGACAGAGACAAAGAGGAAATGGGGAGGGAAGGTTAAGTAATAGACAGGGACTAATTAGAGAAAGTGAGTTCCAACATTAGCTAGAGCAGTGTGTAGTCCTGACACAAGCAAAGGTGAGTGACTTTAGCTACTGATGCCTAGCTCAGTAATTTTGAGGTTTAAATGACTACCTGATTATCATCTGCAGACACATTGCTTATGGCAATCCTTCCTGAGCCATTCACTAAGAATTACCTGAGTGGGGCATCTTTATCACCTCTGGGTTCTTTTCTGAGTTACAATTTGTTCTCTACTTGCAATGGCAAAAAAAAAAAAAAAAAAAATGGAAAAGAAAAAGAAACTATTTCCGAAGCCCCCTTCCACAAAAGCTTTAGAACTGATTTCATGTTTGGTTATTGAAATGCAGTTGTACAAACTGGACAGGCAGAAGAAGGAGTGGAATGTTGGGGCTGCGGTGATAGTGAAAGGGTTTATTTGTTTCCCTGCAGCAGCAGCAACTCCTGAAACTGCCCAGTATTATTTTTTCTGGTGACTAGGGTGTACCTGATCCTGTGTGGTCACCACCTTCAAGGTCTGGGGATATTGAGATAGCAGCCAGGTTTTCCTGCACTTCCTGGTCTCTGGACCATATCTGCTGAGCCGTGACCCAAACCCAGGCCTTGGGCTCCACTCTCCAGCCCACTAGGCTGACAGAAACTTTTCCTATGTCAGTGATGGTTAACCTATGGCACCAGTGTTATTGTATTTTTCTTTGAAGACAAATGATTTTAAATTTTTCTAAACTAACACCTCAGTATTCAGTTTTCAGTCTTGGAATTTTGCAATAAATAAGTAGGTTTCAGGTTGCAGTTTAGCATGTGGTCTCTAAAAGGTTCACCATCACAGCCCTCTAGCAAAGCCCTTGTAAATGAAGATACCTATCATGCCTGATGACGTGATACAGCCTGGCCACCACCCTTCCCAGCTTGAACAGGGTCACATCACACCTGGTGGGAAATTTTGCTGCCTGCATGGAAAGCTGTTACAGACAAACGAGGCTCTGACAGGAAAGGCCACTGCATCTCAGCCCTCAGTTCCAGGAAACATCTCAATCGCTTCCTGGTCCAAGAAGCACAGACTTCACTATCTTTGCCCCGGATTTCCTAAGGCAACGAGTCCTCTGACCAATGCCTAGCATCCACCTAGCAATCACTTCTCTACTTAAGTCTATGCTCTCCCCTCTGCTCATTGCTGCTTCCCACTTAGAGTCAGCCCACCTGCTCTGCACTTGAGTGAGTAAAACAGCTTCACTTGTTCACACAAGGCAAGCCCAGGTGTTTTCTCTGCTGTCTGAGTCTCTGGTGCAATATCTCAGCAGTTTCCATCTCCTGCATTGAACGTCAGTGATACAGGTACTGAGAAGCTCACTCAGCATCACCTCAGCCAGCAGGAATTTCCCTGAGTGTCTTTCCAGGGCAGCCACACTGGTTACCAATGTTGCACTTTCTTTTCTTATACAGATGGCAAAATTTTGTTGAGTTACTGAAAAGAGCTTCTTTGGACTTATTGTCTGGCTTACCCACAGGTGAGTACCTCCTGAGAGATATCTTATTTTATTTTCCAATACCATTGCTAACTACGTTGCTTAACAAGAGTAGTTTGTTTGTTGGGTTTCATCTCATTCTTCCCAGAAATGTATTTGATCCACATGAAGAAACGGGGAGTGAGAACTGGCTTAAGGCTCTTCTCTTAGGCCTCTTGGATCATAGAAGGCATAATTCTCCAAGGTTTATCCATTGTGGACATTCTCTAGTGGTAGCCCTTGAGGATGAATGCAACACACTTACCAAATATGTTGGTGTTCATTAGAATGGAGGCTGAACAGCCCCTTTATCTAGACTCCTGCAGCAGGGTATTTAGCCTATCTATATCACAGCAAAGTATCTCCAAAATGTATTTATGGGTATGCCTGTATGTGTGTATGTATATGTATATGTGTATGTGTTTGGGGCAGCATTTTTTGTAAATTAAAAAAATGGAAACAATGAAAATATCCTTCAGGAACCCTTTAGTTAAATTATAGTACAACCAATTCATGAAATTATTCAGTAGTATGATAACATGACTGGGACACTAAGGGAAGATTTCTAAGATGTATAAATTAAGTGAATTTATAAAGATGAAGTGAGCACCAATTCTTATTTACCAATTAATGTGCTTTAAAAATGTCTGATAAAAAAGTTGATATTAATCTACTCTGGTAGTTTCTTAACTATATCCATCATCCACTTACTGATTTACCCACTGAATCAAAGATACTTAAAAATGTATGTGTGTGCATATGTGAGTTGGGAATGGGTAGATCAGTCTGTATACAAGTTGAAAAACAGAAACTTTACTAGGTATTTCAAACGGAGGGAAGTCACCATAGGAGAGTGGTATCAAGTAGAAAGCTAAAGGAATAAAAGCCAGTGAAAAAAGTATTCACTTTCCAGGGCTACTGTAACAAACTACCATAATTTTGGTAACAACAGAAATTCTTCGCCAGAGTTCTAAAGGCTACAGCGATGAAATCTAGGTGTTTTCTGGGTTTTGCACCCTCTGAGGGCTCCAATAAAGCCTCCTTGCTTGCCTCATCCAGCTTCCAGTAGCCTGGCCTCTCCTGCTTGCTACTCTGTAGTATCTCTGCAACCAAAGTTCCCTCTCCTTTCCTTTACAAAGGCACCAGCCATTGAATTTGGGGCCCTTCTAGTCTCTAATAACTCATTTTAACTTGATCACATCCACAGAGACTCCTTCCTTTCTGTCTTTCTTTCCTTCCTTCCTTCCTTCCTTCCTTCCTTCCTTCCTTCCTTCCTTCCTTTCTTTTCTTTCTTTCTTTCTTTCTTTCTTTCTTTCTTTCTTTCTTTCTTTCTTTCTTTCTTTCTTTCTTTCTTTCCTTCCTTCCTTCCTTTCCTTTCCTTCCTTCCTTCCTTTCCTTCCTTCCTTCCTTCCTTCCTTCCTTCCTTCCTTCCTTTCTTTCTTTCTTTCTTTCTTTCTTTCTTTCTTTCTTTCTTTCTTTCTTTCTTTCTTTCTTTCTTTCTTTCTTTCTTTCTTTTTCTTTTTTTGGTACCAGGGATGGAGCTCAGAAACTCGCACTTGTGAGGCAGGCAGTGGAACCACTGAGCTAAATCCTTGGCCCCTGCAGAGTCTATTTTTAATAAGGGCAGATTCATAAGTACAGAGGAAAAGACGTTTTAGAGGACACAGTTCAATCCATAATAGTGGGATGATTCAGACCTTAGAAAAACTAGGAAGCAGCAACTATTAGGATCAAAGAAGGCACATCTTATAGAGAAAGGTGAGCTACAACAGAATCTAGGGCCAGTACACTGCAGATCTGGCTCCGGGATCTCCAGGAAAAAGCCAAGTCTCTGGGAAAGATGTGAAGGTAATGCCACACAACTGGTCCTGCGAGGGACATGTGATTTGGAGCTCAGCCTTCTCACACAGTTGTTGTACTTGGATCTCACCCAGAGCACCATGTGGCCAGTTAAGACAGCTGAAAGAAAGCCCCATGATTGCCCATCCAGTCTAAGGCTTCACACCCGCCCGTGCTAAGATGCTACCTATGCCCTTCCCCAGTGTCCTCTGTCATCACATGGCCCTTCTTTCTGTGTCCTGCAGTATCTGTGTCCAGACTTCCTCTTTTTACAAGTACACCAGTCAGACTGGATGGGGACTAAACCTAATAACCTTATTTTAACTTAATTACTTCATGTAAAACTTCAGATCTCCAAATAAGTCACATTCTGAGCTACTGGGCATTAGGTTTAGGGGTTACCATTCAGCTCATAGCATAAGCATTTCAGAAAAATGTGTAAAATATAAGCTAAAGCCACAGTTTTGCAAATAATCATCTTAAATTGGATCACTCATTTTATCTCACTGGACTTTTACAATGGAAGACAGAGAGAGAAGAGGGAGGGGAAGAAAGACTGAAGGAAGGGCGGAAGGAAATAACCTGTTCTGTTGATCTCACAGAGGGACTGCGAATCTGAGAAACAAGTGTCACTACTGTTGTCAATATATCACTCTCCAGAGTAGTAAGAGCGATAAGGCTGTCGGGTCTCGCTGTTGTTACGGTGTATGACAGTTACTGTTCACTGAGAATGTTTTGGTCTCTTCCTGTTTGTGTGTTGCTTCATCTGTGATGAATAAATGCTCTTAAATTGTGAGTAAGCTCTTTTATTAGACTGCCCTATAGCTCCGCAGATAAATGTATGGTGAAGCAGACAGTGACTTATATAGAAATAAAGATAGCTACTCATTATAAATGTGTAGAATTGTGAGTTTGATCATTCTTGGGGTCCTTTTGACTCAAAGATGCTGATAAAGTGATTAAAATTACTCATTTTGTGTAGTTTGCCTCTTATCACAAACTATGTACTTTTGGAATCATAACATCTTATGACTTGTTCTTTAATGTATATATGATCGTATCATAAATAATATCTATTATTTGTTCTAATAAAAAGATAGGTTAGTTCACAACTGAATGACCCTATTGGCAAGAATGACTAGAAGACTAATAGAACACAAAGGAACAGGGATGAGAACTCTTTTGGAATTCAAATTAAACTACTCATCAGAGGAATAAAGCTCTCTGTGGAAGAAGATAACATTATATACATCTCTAAATTATTTTATATGAAGTGTCCAGCTTCTATAAAATGTTACCAAAATGATAGAAAAGGAAATGGATTTTTACAATAATTGTAACTAATATATTCAACAAAATGAATGACAAAACAGAGAGCTTTCAGCAGAGGCCTTGAATCTTTCTATAAAAGAGATAAGATGGGATATCTAGACAGAAAATACAAAAACTAAATTTAACTCAATAGATGGGTTTAACAACAAAGTATTATGAACTAGGGTATCATTCAGTAGAAAATGCCACATTGAAGCATTGATGATAAATAAAGATGAAAAATACTCCAAAAAGTGTATGGGACACATGAAAGGTGATTGGCAACCTCTAACATGTGGGTAACTGATGTCCAAGAAGGATGGAAGAAGGAGCTGAGTCACAAAATAAAGGAAGAGAGGAAAAATGAATCTGAATAAGAATAAAGGAAGAGAAATCAAAGGAGCAGAGAGAAAAAGAAAATAAAAAAGTTGCTGAAGGATGTCTTGGTCCTTGTTTCTCCTCTGTTCAGGATTGTATTTGGCCATCCCTTTTTTAGAGGCCTTGGATGAATTTCCTGTCGAGGTTAGTAGCTGCCATAATATCTACCCTCCCATAATTGGGTTTATGACACCAGTGCCTGACATTATTTGTGGGACTGCTTGTTTGCCTTCACCACTAGAGTGCACACACCCTGAGAGGAATCTGTCTTGATCACTGTGTGTCACGGGTCCTAGGACAGTGCCTAGGGTATAATAAGTACCTAACACAAGTTTTATGAATGAAAAAACACAGACAAATACCTACTTATATTGTTTTATGAAGGTAAATGACATGTCCATTGCCTTGCTTTCTTATGGATCAAAGTGGAGATCGTTTTCACATATGGTTGTGTGTGGGTTGTTTGCTGCTATAGATATTTGACTAGCCTTAGTTTACTTCTTAGGAAAGTGCCATTGGCTAGATTCTACTGGGCCAGGAGCCTGATTCTATCCACTGCCCTTTATCCTGCTTTCACTTTGGAATCACCTAGGGAATTTTTTCAAGGTGCTGAGCTGGTTCTGGCCCCTGAGATTGTGGTTTAATTGGTCTGGTGTGACACCTGAGAACATTGGTGATTTTTTTTAAAGTTCCCCAGTGGGTGTAACCTGCAATCCATGCTGAAGACCACAGATTTCAGTCATTAGTGGGGGCAGACGGGAGAGCTGGTGCATAGCTATCAGAACACACTAGAAACCCTGTAAAACCTGGCCCTTCCCACTCTTGGAAATCTCTAGAGCCAGCTTGGCTTATTGCCTCCAGTACAAATCTTCAACTGGCAGACTAGACAGATGGTTATTATTTATCCTTCCTGCTGTGTTAGAAGGAAGAAAAAAAGAGCTCTGCCTCAGGTCTTTCAAACAGTGTTTACATATGCAAACCATTACCTTTTTTATGCTATTAGTTTTCAGGGAGGACAAGGGAACCTTAAAAGAAACCCAAGTAGACCAGCATGTATTTTTTCCTAATGGAACTTTGAAAAGTGATGACAATAAAAAGACTGGATTATGACAAAGTCTACATTCTAGATCCTTTTCTCAAAAAGAAAGTATTGACCAGGGCCCAGGAAAATGCCCGACATATTGCAATTAATATTTGGTCTTCTCTAGGGAAACTACACACAACAACAAATTATACCCAAAGTGAATATCTTCCTGGTATTGGGTATTTTATATAAGTAATTTTCAGATTACTGAAGATTGTTTTAATTTCACAAAGGAAAGATTTGATCTGAAAGTGGTAAAGGGAACAATCAGGGTTGGCATTCATGTTGTTCTAAAACCAAAGTTTGTGTTCCTGCTCTTTTGCCACGTACAGCTTCTAAAGCCCCTTTAACTCCCCGTCTCTACAATTCAGAACCATTTGAACTTTTTCCCCTGCAATAAACAGAAAGATGTTTTTTCACAGACTGGGTGAAATGGTCAGGAACGGGTGCAGCTTAATAATGACGTGGAATGACCAATTTTCAACACTTTGAAAAAGACTGGTTTCCTGTAAGGCACAGAAGGGCAACCAAATGCAGAGAAAAATCTCTCTTCACCAAGGATTAGAAAAGGAATTGGAGAAATGACTTGTATACTTAGTGACTTTATTTTCCAAATTCCAAATAAACAGGGGCACCGGCCATTTATTCAGCCAGATAGATGTGTTGAGTGCCTATTCCAATCTTGGGTTGAGGCTTTGAAGAAGAGTGTAAAATCAGTGTTCCCCATCAAAAAACTGAGGGACGAGATGCATAATGATGCACAGGCTTAGTGCTAAAAGAGTGTAACCGAAGGCTTTTATATCTGGTGTGGGAGCATATGAAAGCATCCTTCCCTAAATAACACTATTATTTATTATTTAACATTTATTCATTACTGTTAACATTATAACATGTAACATTATAACATTACTGTTCTAGATATTCCCTTTACACTTCCTAGTCCTGAAAAGAACCTGTAAGCATCATTGTTCTCATTTTATGAAATTTTTAAAAGGCACAGAGAGGTTGAGTAACTTGCCCAAGATCACTCAGCTAATAAAGCAGTCAGAATTCAAACTTAGGTTGTCTGGCCTCAGAGCCTATTGCCTATGTTTCACTGCCTTCTGCTATGGTTAGATTTTTAAATTGAAACAGTAAGAACCATCTCAGAAACTATATATGTGCGTGTGTGTATGTGTGTGTGTGTGTGTGTGTGTGTGTGTGCTAGTAATGTATTTAAATTATGCAGCAAATATTGAAGCTGAAGACCCCAAAAGCTTGTACTGTGAAATCATCATAGGGATTTGCAACATACACAGAAAATCAAAATTATGATGAATGTTAAAATTTAAAATTTCTATTACAGTAAAAGACAAACTGCCATTAATCTCTCAGAACCTCCCCCTCACTTGAGACACACTTATGCCACCCTTCTTGACATTTTCTGCAGCAGAAAGAGATCAGGAAAGTCCCTCTTTCCCGGATGTCTTTCCAAGGTGTGTTAGTGGAAAGGCAGGCTTGGAAAATCACAGCTGTGTGTCCCCTCGTTCACTACATCTGGCACTGTGTGGCTTCCAGCTTCTCCCCAAAGTCAAGATGAGCATGAAAGGGAAACATTGTTTAATCAATTCCGGACGCTGCGGCAGCCAGGGCAGTGCAATCAACGACCCACAGGAAAGAAGACCGCAGAGCTGCTGCAGAAAGTGGCCAGGATGTCGGGATGTGTGTGTTGGAAGTGAAGGGGAGCATTTGAGTGAGATTAAGAACAGTTTATCTTCCTGTAATAAGACTCTTTAAATTTAAACATTCACTGTGTCTTTGATCACACCTCATAAATAAGTCCCTGTGTCTGAGGAAAGTGCTGGGTAGTGAAGGAAGGATATCTTTCAGCCGTGGAGAATTCACAGGTCCTTGTCCTGTGTGGGAAGGAAGCCTGTCTTATTCTCTAGAGGTGCAGCTGCAGCAAATCATATCAGGTCAGCAGGACACCCTGAGTGTGGTGCTGCTCTCACCTCTGCCCATGCAGGGTCTCTGGCCTCAACCTAGGACGGCAGCAGGTGCCCGCCTTGCTGGGAGGCAGGCCCTGGGGGCGCCCATCCCCCATGGAGCTGTGCAGACCGGCTGGCTGGTGTGGGGCCTGCTGCAGGCTCTGGCCCCTGCTGTGCAGGACTCTCTTCATCACTCAGGCCCTCAGGTCCTCCAGCTGCATCACCTGGCCTGCTCCACTGTGCCCCTGCTCCCATATAAGTTAAAATGCTTTCTTCTCTCTGCTTAGTGTGCTCTAGTAGCCTATGGTAGCTCATAGTTAAATAATTTTTGTTAATTGGAATCTGCTCCTTGGTCTGAGGCCTGAAGGCGGGAACCAGGGCTTTTATTAAATGATGTGGTACTGTCATTGTGCCTGTTGTTAAATGAAGACACCGAGCTAAACATTTCCATATCTTCTCTCCTGTTTAGGGAAGTATGAACAGGAAGTTCCTGCCTCTCCAGGGCAGTCTGAAGTCCCCGAGGTACCTCAAAGCCAGACTGAACACGTGTTGCTTGCAGAGTACAGGAGGATGCCCCAGCCCTTGGTGTCCCCGCTCTGGCTGGGTGGTGGAAGCCTCCATTCTGCCTAGGTGCAGAGGGGAGAAGGAAGATGCCTAGAGTGTCTGCTCCATCCTAGTGTTTTAGTGATGGGCTTGCTGCTGCCCCAAGAAAGTGTGCTTGTGGCACGTGTGCAGGGGTCTTTGTGGCCCATCCACCATCCATTGAAATACAGGTCACTCACGAGCCATCCAGCTTCCAGAAACTAAGAACAACCTTATACCTAGGTGCCACATTTTAAAATGTAACAGGTTCTCTGGTACAAAAAGAAAATAAAAGAAAAGGAAAAAGAAAAAGATCTGTCAAGAAGTTAAAATCCATTTTAATATTCCCAGCATTTAGTCAAAAGATGTAGAATTGAAAAACAGCCTGAGTTTTTCCATTGTTGTCATTTTTTTAAATGCCTGGATTAGAACATAATTCATCTTAGAATGACGGGAAGCCTCTTCATGCATTTCACACGTTGAAATATTTTAGAAAACAGTACCAATTTTGGCGAGCCTCTTGCCATGTAAGAAACAACAGCAAATGCTTTTCTCCTTGAGTGTTAAGACTGTTGTGAATAAGATTATAAAAAATAGTTTTCTCTTTTATTTTGCCTCTTATTTGAGGGTTTTATCAATCTTTGTGACAGTTGATTCTTCTCATATTCCTGTATAAGTAGTCTTGTCCCATTTTTTAAAAAGAGAACAGAAATAGAGTGTTGTCCCAAAGAAAACAACTGATTCACGTCTTCATTCATCAAACATGGCTTGAGAACCTAGTACATTCTGTGCAGGACCCTAAGTAGATCTCAAGGACACATCAGTAACTGTCTCACATGCCCTCCCTTCCCATCTCTGGGAGAGGAGATGCTCTGTGAAATACAACATCCAGTGGTAAGTGCCTTGAGGGCAAAGAGGCTAAAAAGAATTGCCTGTCACCCAGCCTGGGTGGTCATGGAAGGACACCTATGAGAAGGGTAATATATGGTGGGAATATAAGAAGATGCAGGGGCCAAACCACTCAAAGAAAAGGTGGCTGTTACAACAGAGGGAACAGTGTAATAAGATAAAGGCAAAAAACATTCATCTTTTCAGGTTCTATGTGGTTGGAGAAAAAAACAATATATATAATAGGAAGGAAATAAGCTGAGAAATAAGCAGGAACGAGGACATACATGTTCTTACTGCCAGTGTGGGAATCTGGACTTTCTCCTGATGCAGTGGGGCATGGCATGGACATATTGCTTGCTTGCTTCCTTCTTTCCCTCAGCTGAATTCAGTGCCACACAAATCTCCGATATTCCCTTGTCCTTAGTGGACAGAGAGTATGTTGAATGTCTGAGGAAATATAAAACTATTTGAATTCAGTTGCTTATATCCCTGGTCATTTTGAAATACACCAAAATCCGTGCAAATGTATATTATTATCCTGGATAGATTTTCATCAGATTTGTAAAACTCTAAAAACTCTTGAGATCACTACTGTACTATATGACATTATATTCTTTCCAAAATCGATAGGATAATTCTTTCATATTCCTTAAAAGCTATCAGCTGCTTATCATCTAAGCAGGTGCTGCATTCTATTATTTCAAATGAAAGAATCCTTCACTCGTCACTGCAGCAGCTGAACCTGTGCTTATAACCAACTCAGAACTCGGCTTTTACTGTAATTACTATTTTTCAAGACCTTGGGATTTTCACTGCTTATATGTGAGAAGTTTGAGACAAGTAACAAACTTGGGAAAACTCAGCATTCAAAGGCTGTGGGAGCATGGACAGATAGTGTACAAGAGTGGCGGTGAACCTATGGCACACAATGCTGTGGGCACATGGAGCCTCTCTTTTGGCACAAAAGTCAAGTCACCCCAGCACAGCCCCAGCAGCCAAGCATCGACAGATTAGATTGCACTGTTGGCACTTTGCAATAAATAAGTGGATTTTGTTGCAGCTTGGACACTCAGTCTCTAAAGATTCACCATCACTGATATATAAATTTGAGAGGTTTAATTCTGTGGTGAATTAGGAATACTTGTATTTCAATGAACTGAACCAACTCTTTTACCTTAATGTACAGAAGGAGAGAGAAGCTTGTTATGTTACCCAAGGGCAGAAATGCTGAGGGGCTGGAGCACCACCAGGACCTGCATCTCTCCTCCTCTCTGCCAGCAGCCTCATTCTCTCCTCCCTGAATTTCTCAGTAGAGCAGCCTTTTCTTGTGCCAGTGTAGAGGCAGAAAGACTGCTAGTTTCAGGGTCTCATAGAGAATTTTTTTCTCCCTTTTTTTCTTTCTCACAAATTTTTCAAAATTCCTTGACATAGGTTTATTTGCCTTTGATGCAAACAAAACATAGCTGCTCTCTGCAGCTGTGGGGTGGGCAGGAGGGGCAGTCTTGGAAAAGTGGACTTGGGCAAGCCAAACCTCAGCTCCTACTCTCTCCAGTGGAAGGTGGTTGGGCTTCTTCCCTGTCACTGCTGGGGTCACTTGTGTATTTCACTCTAAACACACCTCTGCTTTATACTGGGCATGTGGTCAGGACACTAAAAGTAGATATCACCTCTGCCCTGCTTGAAATCCTGGGCTTACTCCAAGATCTGTGAATTTTAACAAGTCATTTGCTCGTTCTGGGCCTCGGCTTCCTCTGTTGAAATAACAGGACCAGCATTCGAGAGTAATTTTAATATTCTTTAAAATGGGCCCAGGAGCATAAGATAATATTATTGTTTCAGTCAGTTTTTTGTCAAAAACCTCACATCCATGACCCAGAAATTTTCTTGAGAAGTTAGAAATTTTGCCAGACTCTTATTTGTGCAAATACTACCAAAACAATTAGAAAAGAGCATCAGGAAGATTCTTAGTTACAAAATCTTCTCTTTTATTCAAGTCAAAAATTAAAACTGCATGACAGTTTTCAAAATGATGCTTTAAAAAACTATAATGATGACTTATCTTTTAAAAATGCCTCAGTATGTTTACATTCAGAAAAACTTCACAGATATGGTCCTACGGTGCTTAGGATTAGAAATTAGAAATTCGTCTTTGCTTTCCAAAGCCACATCTTCCAGTAAATTATCCTCATTGCATGGGTCCATCTTGAGCCAAGAGACTGGAGAAGCTCTGGGTGGTGAGTGAGCAGCCAGTGAAACACTTGTATTATTTTGGTAGCAAACCGCAGAAGAGGAGCTGCAACCAAAAAACCCTCCTGCTGAGACTTCAGCGCTGGAAGATTCTCTGAGCCCTTTGAAGATCAGGCCAGTTTCCCAGCCTCTGCTGAGTTCAGCCATGAAGAATGGGTCTGAGGAACACAAGGAAACCTGGATAGACAGGTTCAGGAAGCTCGAAAACGCCCTCTACCTGTGTGATCTGAGCAACACAGGTAAAGTAGGAACTCCAAAGCTGATGTGCTTTTCTATTAATGTTCTAGCCCAAGTACAGATACTTTTTTTTCTTTCATTTCTTGAACAAATACTATATTTGTATATTAGCCATGTGTCTGGCACTAATGTCAGTGTAATCAGGAAACAAAGATGAATCAGAGAAGCAATTCCCAGTCGGTTGCTCATAATTTCTCCTCTCCTTCTATTATTCCTACATTCCTACCAAAGTCTACCATGAACCAACCTTCTACATACTTCAGGGATCCCTACTGCTGCAGCACAGACTCTTTAGCAAAGAAATATCCAGTCCCTGACCAGCCAACCACGCTCCGTATTCTTGTCATTCTCTTCACGTATATCCCAGACTTTCCGAAGGGTTTGTGCCTTTCCTACACTAAGCCTTCCATTTGAGCTGTTTCAGTCTTTTATTGCTATGCCAACTCCCCATCCTGGCTATCTGACTAATTAATGCCTAAACATTTCTCATATTGGAATTCAAGCACTCTTCTAAGAGTCTCCAGACAGATCTGGGCCAGCCTTTTTCTGGCTTCTTGGTGGTTTTTAACGTCCATTATCATATGCGACACGTTGTAATTTTTATTAGGAGGCCTATTGCTGTCATACCAGTAGATTGTATTGCTCTTTTATGCCTGGCACCTGCAAAATTCTGTTCAGTATTTTTGAGAATCAATTGAATCAACTGCGTGGGTACAAATAACTAAATTTAAGATGAAAAAGCATGAATGCCACAAATAGTGTGCTATTTGGGCATTTGAAAAAGGAAAAGCTCTTTATACTGCGGTCCAGAAAGGCTCTGTTAATGCTAATTTGATCTTTAAAGATGAATGCAGTTTGAACACAGAGGAAAGGAATTAAGAGGTTTCTCTGGCAAAAGCGCAAGGTTGGCCAAGCTAACTCCTGTGCAAAGCTCGAACAAGAGCTTCCATGGGCCAGACCAAGTGTGCTGACTGATATAGATGGAAACACAGGAGAGGCCGCATACTGGAAGGCTTGAAATGCCAGGCCAGGAAATGGAAATTTCATTCAAACTAGCGCTGAGTTTCTTAGCACGAGAGATTTGATCGAGTTTTTAAGAAAGATCCTTGATGTCAATGTGCTGATTACAGAGAAAGCGAAAGAAGGAAAAACAGAAAGGATTCAGTTGCAGTGTCCAAGGGAGGGAGGAAATGAAGCCTATAGCTAGGCCTGAGATTCGGGAGTAGAGAAGAGGAAAGAAGTGCGAAGGCATGGAGCAGAAACCACCTTCCGCGAGACCCTTGTGCTCACTTGCACAGAAGTGGCCACGTAGCAACACACTGTCTTCTGACCTCTGCTTTTCCTTCAGTTTTCTTTTATTATAAAATTTCCAGGGCGATATAATTCTAGAGCATATGAAGTAAAACCACCACATAATGCTCAAGGATGTTTAATAATTTTACCTAAAAAAGAAAAAAAATAACTGAAAACTTTAAGTAAATGATTCAACTGGATGAATTTAAAATTATTTATTAAAACTCTGTTATGAGCTCAGCATAGGGTTAGAGGCTGGACCAGGAGGAAAACCAGACATAGTCTCTGGCCTTGAGCACCTTAGTTTAAGGTGATATGCAGAGACTGGCAATTTCTCAAAGCCAGAAAAAAGAATACAAAAGGAAAAGTCAAGTGTAGAGGAAGGTCTTATAGTGGAAGGCACAAATGAGAATCAGAGGAAAGATACTGGGTGCCAAGTTACAGGTCAACAGGAGAAGCCCCGCTGGTGCAATTGCACAACAGAAAGGTGATGGATGATAATAATGCATCGTGTGTCTCAGAAGAGCTACAACAAAGGGTTCTAAAAGTTTTTACTACAAAAAAAAAATGATAGACATTTGGGAAGAGGGATGCACTTGCCCTGATTTGAACATTATGTAATATGTACTTTTACTAAAAGATCACATGGTACCCCCATAAATATGGACAGGTCTTAAGTATCAAATTACAAGAAATGTTTTGAGTTAAAAGCAAAGAGAAAACAGATAAAAGGAAGCTCATCATCCTGTTTGAGCTAAAATATCAGAGAGGCTTCTGAGAGACAAGGGCTGGAGCAGAGGCTGAGAGAAGACTTTAGACTATTCTGAGCTTAAAACCATTGTCTGCAAAGATCAGGAGTTGGGTATGGGTGTGATGGAGGCTCACACTGAACCACAGATCCTACTATGAATTCCTAAGGCTAGGAACAACCTTCTGTACCCAGAGTCCACCAAAGGCTTACTCAGAGGAGAACATAACAAAACCAAGAGGGGTTATTTAGGGAAGAGTCTGGAGAGAAGGAGATTAAATGTTTAGCTAAAAAACTGTGAGTCTAGGTATTCCTACCAGAGATATGAGAGTAGCAATGAGGTACAAAGTAAAACAAACTTAAAAACAACTGAGTAGATAGAAAACACTTTCCTGAGGAGACAAACACTGAGTTGTAATGATGGGTGATGAATCATAGTAACCAAAGAGCTCCCAAAAGATTGGGACCTTTCTCATAGGAACTGAATGGTTCTGAGGAACAACAGAGTTCTGTTGATTTTGGAGACAGATTCTGACAAATCTGAAATGCTTTTCTCATGGCCTCCTCACTATTTATGCCTGTTTTCTCTGTTTCTATGAAATCCATTAGTTTATCAACAGCCAAGGAACTTTTTTAGCCAGATTTGGGAACATCCACCACTGTCATAAATGAGGAAAGAGGTTAACTGAGGTCATACTGTTGGTTTATTAGCCACAGTGTCTAGCAGCCCATGAAGTCCCCTTCTAGATGTAGAGCAGAGGACACATACTCTGCCCACAGATGAATCACTATTCTTTATTATGTGCAAGAAAATATGTAGGCCAGGGTGTTCTGCTCCAGGGTGAAGGCAAACCATCCATCATCAAATCAGTGTTTCTGGGAACCTATCAAGTTTACTCTTTAATGAGGGTTGTCCAGAAAATAGCCCTGAGGAAGAGGGGAAAGGAATGACTGAATAACTGGTTGTGTGTTCTAAAGAAAGGAGTGTGGTTGGGATAAATGTCTGAGCAAACGGTGAACTTGGAATTTTCCCAATAAACCAAAGGCTGCGTAGAAAATATTTCAAGTTCAAGGAGGCAGAACGCCTTACAGGACATTGTCTGCAGATCCTATACTTTCTGTCTACTTTGTTACTAAAATTTCCTGATAGTCATTACTGCCAGATTATGACCTTTATCTCTGGAGGAACTGCAGTCCCAAGGGTAAAGTCATCTTCAGGAGGGAGTTGAGCCATAATTCAGTCCCAGCTCCCCTTGCTTTCCCATGCAGCCAACTCTTATGTGGAACAGAACATGAGGTTTTGCTATATTTTTTTTAACTAGAAGACTCAAGTCCAGACTCCATCAGCTGTTGAATCTTGAAACTAATCACTTAAGGTCTCTAAGTTTGTTTCCTCAACTATAGATGAGAACTAACAATAATGAAATGGATCTCCCAGATTTAAGAACCAAATGAGGTCAAAGATTTTAGAGGTTTTTGTAAACAATAAAACAAACTGATAGCAATGAGATTCATTTTATTTCTTTCATTTCAGACCTGGCTAGAGAAGGGCAGGCTGTCCACCCTAGGGTGGACAAGAGGCTGTCACGTGGCACATCTGCCACCGGTAAAGTCCGAATGAGTGGGGCAGGCACAGTGGAATCCAGTACTGATGGCAAAGCTTGGAAGTGACCCCTAGGCGAATTTTTAATGTTACTCTTCAATTTTAATTAAATAAGCTAAATGCTATATATTTTAGTAATTTCTCTATATTAAAATGCATTCTTAAGGAGTTTAAATAATGACTACACCCCTATCCAAAGCCCATAGTAATACTCGGCTTTCCTGAGTGCCTCGTGGTACTGGACATTGTACTGAATACCTTTTCATTTATTGATTTTCACAAATATAATTACTTGTATTTTAAATTTGAGGAAACAGACTGAGAAAGTTAATTTAACCTTCTTAAAGTTTTCCAGTCAGAACCTTACCCAAAAGCCCATAGGTTACATTTCCAGAGGAAGAGACGGGAGAAATATCCATGGGAGCAAACGTGAGGCAGGACCAACCAGAGCATTCCAAAGAAATGCTTGGCCACTGCAAAAATGAGGTTTATTTGGAGGAAAAGAAGGACATAGGATTAACATACAACAGGTAAACCGAAGCAGAGTAGAAACCAAACTAATGGAATGGAGGGTGGGATGGAGTGGGAGGGAACAGATGAGAACAGTGAGTCACAGAAAGAGGCCACGACTGGGGGTGCTGTTGAGGGTTCCTGCTCAGAGCACTTCCAGGGCCCACTGTGCTCCCCCGTCCTTGCACTTGTGGGTACAGCTTGAGCTACATGACAGCTATCTGCTGCTGCCCACCTCTGGTGGATGAATAACGATTCTATAGCAAATGACCCAGCCATGGCCTCTGGAGTCTTGAACAAAGAATTTTGCAGACACTCTTATAATCCACAGTAAAGGACAGCAGAAGAACAACATGTGTCTTTCATTTCTATATAAGATACCAAAAGCATTTCGCTGGCATCTGCAGTGCACACTTTCATAAATAAGGGCCACACTTGGGAAACAACATGACTGCACTTACAGAGCCTGCTTCTTGATCTTTCTAGGACCCAGTGTAGGGGTTAATCTTGAGCTGCCCTGGATGAGTGACTGAGCAACCCAGGTCTGGAGTGAAACAGGCTGGGGTGAGGGTTAGATGAGGTAGTATTGGAAAAGTCCTCGCAGCAGTGCACGGGGCACGCTACATTGTATAGTAAACCTCCGACCTTACTGTTATTATTATTGCACTGTAGCTAATTTTCTGCATGAGTTATCTTTCCAGTGGGTCAAGGGAGTTCCTGAGATAACAGCAAACTTCTCTAAATCCTCAATATTCTTATATATGTAAGCTCACAAATAGGAGCTTTTGCTTTAGTTAGTGATCTTTGGTGGTGGTGTATTCTAAACATAAACTCCTTTGATCAACTGTCAAAACTGGCCTCACTTGAATGCACAAAGTATATTGACATAAGCATATTGTTGCTGACACAGAAGACATGTGGGTACCAAATATGCATTATTAGCGCTGTAACATAGGTTTACACTCTTAGACAATATACCTGCGAATCACAGAGCAAGCTAGAGTGTCACAGTAAGTAAATGTCCAGAAATGAATTAAAAATGAGCTGTTTAGCCAGGTATGGTGGCTCATGCCTGTAATTCCAGCACTCGGGAGGCTGAGGCAGGAAGTTTGCTGTGAGTTTGAGACCAGCCTGGGCTATACAGTGAGTTCCAGGTCAGTCTTAACTACACAGTGAGACCCTGTCTCAAAAATCAACAACAAAAAACAAACAAAAAGCTGTTCAAACCCTGTGTGTTCAGGAACATATTTGGATACTTCAGTAAGAAAAACATGAGCAAAAACATTTAGAAATTACTTTTAATATGTGCCTCCTTTAAAAAGTTGGCTTTAAAAGTTGTGTGATTACCCCCAAAATGTTAAAAGTGCTTTAGGACTTATCTAGGGATTTTACTGGACTCCATCTCCTCCTCTTGTCCCTCAAATCACCAAAAAACCCCTCCTGAAACCTATGACACATATCCAGGACTGCACATATTTTGTAGATGTCACATGGTTTTTAATAAGCTCAAAGTTTCAAAATATTAGTATTTAGTATCTATCTAGAAGTCCCTCAAGTTAAGATATATTTTTCACGGCTTTCCCCTTACCTCTTTAAAAGTCCTTCCACCCATCCCATGCAATCACAGGAAATCTGGAGAAAGAACGAGCCCGACGCCTCATTCACAACTACAATCTCATTTACAACCTCTCCCTGAGCCCTCAGAAAATTGACCAGGCTTTGCGAAGATTCTGTTCTGGAGAAAATCTGCTGTTGGAGCCAGCACTGCGGTACTTGAAGGAGCTATGATGCCAGTCCCTGCGGTGAGAACAGATGTTTCTCTGCTTTCCCAGATGCGTGTTTCTCCCAGTCTGAGCATGGTGAGGGAGGCCTAACAGGGTGAGGCAATGTGGCTGTCCTGGATGCTTCTGAGGTGGACTTGGACTTGGGCTACAACTCACCTATGACCCTTGAAAATGCAACATAAACCAGGCCTTCTTCTCTGATGTGGCAAGAACCCAATTACTCAAAGTCTTCCTTTTCTAATAAAGCTTATTATTAATGTGATATGTTTGATAGCTTTTCTATATTGTTTCTTTTTTTTGCAAACCCCATGATTTCATATAGTAAAAATCATGCTAGATATTGTCAACTCCTAAAAAATGCCTTGTACACAGTAGGCCTAAATATTCTAATTTGTAATGTAAGCCCTTTCTCTAGTCACTGTTCTAGGAAGATTTACAACTAAATGTATTAACATTATCTTAATATTAAGCAGAGGAATAATTCAAGTGAGCTTTCTTAAATGAGTTCAGTATCTTCTCCTATATAGAACTAGACAATGTGACACTGTCTTCAGGAATATTTCCAAGTGTCCTGGATAGAAGTTTGGAGGAAGGACACCTGAGCCAGAGAATTCTTGGAATAAATAATATCCTTTGATCTCTCAGAGCAAGGAGACCAGGGGAAATCTCCACCAGTTCCCAGAGTTCTCTGTCCTGAACTTGCTTGTCCTAACTCTACTGCTCCCATAAAACATAGTTACACATACACCACACACACACTGGTAGCCCAGGCTTATTGAAGAAACACAAGTGTGGATTTTAAAAAACAAGGTGCTGTCCCCAACTGCACCATTTCTGACATTCAAATTAGGGTGGGAGACAAGATGACAGTTAGATCAAGGGGAAACCTATCTGGAAGTTCCCCAATTATCCCCCTCTATCCACTTATTAGTAGGCTGCCTTGTGAAACCTATGAAAAATCTTCAAAAAGAAAATTACTTCTATCCACTAAAACAAATCCTTTGGTTTTTATAACCCTTAAGTTGCCCATAAAATGATTGTTGAAGCAGACTGACCACCTCCTGTCTTTCTAGAAACCATGGACCGCATTGCCTTTTTTGGGTTACAGGACAAAGCAAACAGATGTGGCTACCAAAATCATGTGTGAAGAAATTCAGAATATTAGGTCAAACAATTTCATACATATTGGGCAACTACTATTTGCCAGGAACTTGATGTATCTTATTGCATCCCGTGTTGACAACTCAACCTGACAGGTTTTACAGCTCCATTTTGCAGATGAAGGAACAGAGGTTCCAAGATGTGTGGCAAGAAAGCTACTGAATGGTATTTGTTAATAATTTGCCAGAGAGAGAGGAGAGAGAGAGAGAGAGAGAGAGAGAGAGAGAGAGAGAGAGAGAGAGACCGGAGACTTCCTAAAGAGCACTGGCCAAAGGAGACCGAGGAAGTCCCCATGTAACTTCGTCTCTGCAGGCAGTGGCCTAGAGAGGTAGTCTGGGGAAATATGGAGTTGGGGCTCTCAGAATAAACATGGGGTACTCAGCAGCTATGATTTTACCCTGCCTCTGCTGAATTGGGCATGTCCATCATTCAGTACCCTTACTGGTTCTTGGCCTCACTGCCAAGTTACACAGAGGGAGAGGATGCCTTCCACCTGGGATGTAGCATGAGAGCTGTCCTGAGAGTCATGAGAGCACAGGTGGGGTCCCAACCTGTTCTCTTTTGGTCTTGTCTGCGTGGATGCTTCACTAAGAGGGGCACCCATGGCCAGATCATGACCTCCAGTCACCACCACCAGCCACAGACAGAACAGAAAAAAGATTGGCTTTCCAAACAGCCACAATCCGGCACTGCACTTGGTAGTTCATAGGTGGTAGGTGCCTAATCTCCCTGAATTTCAGTTTATATATCCATAAAATGGGAGTCATCATACCCGTTTTCAAGGTATTGCTACCCTGTGAGAGCAATTCCATTTGGACAGCTCTTTGCATGTAGGATGCACAGGCCTTTCTTCTGTCCCTTCTTTAGCTGCTGAGCATTCAGGAAGCATAAAAAAAAATTGAACAATGGTCTGTGTGAATAGAACAGGAAGGCCAGGAATTACTACAGCAAAAGCAAACTTTGAGATACATTTTGCCCACTGTTCCAAGGAGCAATTGCTCTTAAGTCATCTCCCATCTAGAGAGTTCTGCACTGCTTTACCACAAGGTGTCTTTGTGCTAACAGAATCTACTCTGACACTCATTTAAATGGTAAGGCAGACTTTTTCAGAACTATCCCGGCAAGTACAGGGAGACTGCAATGGAGCTGTGCAATGGGAGTAGGTACTGAGCTCACCTCAAAACACAACCAGGGAAAAGTGCAGATGGTTAGGAACAAGCAGCAAAGCGGGTGTTTTGTGATGGAGCATGAAGAAACCGGGCTGAGGGTGACTCTGACTCAGAGCCCATCTATCACCAAACCTCCTTAAGAAGACCAGCACTGCAGGCCACAGGGCAAATAGGGACAGCAGGGATAGCAGGTGATCTGAGCCTGGTCCAGAGATTGTGAGTGTGAGTGTGGAGTGTGTGTGTGTGTATGTGTGTGTGTGTGTAAGTGTGGCCATTTACAAGACTTGCATACTGCTAATGTAAATACACATTAGTTTTTCTGTGTCAACATGATAAGAACTAAAAGCTAATGCAAGTCAGAGAAAATCTTAGATAGCAATGTGATGAGTGACAGAAGAAGTCGCATGAGGACTATAAAGCAGACCTCTGGACACAGAGATACGCTACGAAGTCACTGTGCTTCAGAAAGCCTGGTGACCACAATGCTGAGATTTTCTGTCATTTTCTCTCCCTTTTTCTCAGACAAGTGGCATTTTGAATACTTTCTGAGCTATGCCATGGCAAGCTTCTGAACATTGGGGAGGAGAGCTGGTGTCTGTGGCCTCAAGAAGGCTCAGTTAGCAGAAACTTCTGGGTTAGATGTCTGTGTGTGGACTTGCAGGCCAGAAGCAGGCTCTGGGGAGCCTTGGAGCCAACTCTGTGTGCCCAGCCTTCCCAGAGCTCATCCTTGAGGAGAGAGGAAACAAAGAGTGACAGATGGGTCCAAGCAGTGCTCTGACTCTCTCCCATCTGTGGCTCTGAGCAGTCTATGACCAGCCAGACAGCACACTCCTGAACTGGTTCTGTAGATCTGCCTAGCACGATGCCTGCACTACAGACACATCTGCTGCACAGCAGTGAGCAGATCGGATCTTATTCCTGTACTGTATTTCACTGTTCCCTACTTGGGGCCAAATCACCAAGTGCCTTTTCCAGGTGCAGACACTTTCCAAGTCCTCAAATGTCTATCGACTGTGCTGTACTGGGAAGCAGACTGTCTTCTACTTTCCCCAGCCTCATTTTCCTGCCAGTATTTATTCCTCCCAGCAAACAAACCAGGTTGGCATTGCTATGCTGACAGTGCAGATGAAAAACTGAGACTTGGGATAACGTATGTATTTACCAAAGGCCCAACCACCAGTGGGTGACAGAGCACAATGAGAACCCACTGTGCACCACTGCGACGTTGCAGCTGAAGCCCACAGCCCGCAGAGTGTTTGTCAGGGGTATGGCCTGTCTCTGCGGCAGTTCTGGAGGGGACCCCAGGCCAGGGCCAAGATTTCTCTCCTCTGCATCAAGCACAAAGCCTGACTCTCCCCCTAGTGGGAGAGTGGAGCCCCTGTTGAGTGGAGCCCCATGAACCTTCTGAAACCTCAGCTGCTTTCTGCACTCTTTCAGCCCCCACTCCAACTCCATCAGTGCCTCTAGGGCTGGGATAGAAGGGTTCCCGTGTGCTTTGGAGAGGGACACTGCCAGAAGCGCCAGGTAGAGACAGCAGGGTGGAAAGGCTTCCTCCTCCCCTCTCCTGCTCTGTGTCTCTTCAAATTCTCCAGGTGTGTGCCAACTTGCACTGGGCTCCCCAGGGGACCAGAGTCCATGGAAGGTAAATGGTCAGATGCAAAGACAATCACAAACAGATGGGCTGCTAGAATGGGCTGCAGACAAGACTGAGCAGACTGAGCTCTAAGGCCATGAGCCTCAGCTGCTGCAGAGGAATTGGTGCTTGGCAGCAGGGCCTGCTCAAAACTTTGTACTGCTCCCGTTGGGCTTCTGCATTCCAGGAGGGAGACATGGGCTGGTTCTGCCTCACTGGACTCCAGGCCCTGGTCAGACTGCACCAGCAAAGCTTTCTCAGCATCTCACAGACCCAACCGAAGCAGAGTCCTCCTCCGCTTCCTGTGCTCGGACACCTTCAAGAGTGGAATCTCGCTGTTTGTCAGCTCGTCTCCTCCAAACATCCTCAATTGACTCTTCTAAAATTGCTCGTCTTTTAATTCCCTCTCTCCCCTTCTTGTGGCCAAGGAAAATACAATTTGACTGATGATTTGAGCAGTGACTGTAAGAA